TGACTGAATCTGTCTGCGGGGGTTTCACAGGCTCTGGTGCAGCACCCGGTGATCCTTGCGCCTGCCCCTGCAAGGCGCTGGTAGCAGAACTTGACGACGGCAATGGCGAGGCCAAAGTGGCGTCTGTGGTTGCGGCTGCAGGCCGGCCACGAGGGGTGACGCCGGAAATCTCAACCGCCGTTTTGTTTACGCATTTCTCAACTTCTGTGTCGTTGTGCGCGGGTAACGTGGCATTTACACTCGTAATGAAGGACATTCGACAAGATACTCGAATCATGTCCAGCACTCCCTCTGCGAGCTTTTCGATAGCCTCAGTCACCTCCTCTGGAGTCGTCGTTTCCTCCGCATTATCACGATGCGGAGCACTCGATGAAGTCTCCGCCGCATCACACAACCAGGCACCGCACCACAGCACGCAGAGGGCACACACCAGCAGCACACGGCCAGTCATCATCATCGCCATCACCCCTGTCACTTGCGTGCAGCCTTCAGCACAAACTAACTCCCCGTCAACGCAGAGTGAAAGCAAAAAAGAGACAAGTCACACAGCCACGCACCGTCCCATCCAGCGATGAGAGCCACGCTCAACAACAATTAGGTGGACGCCGCTCAACAACAACAACAAAAAGAAAACAAGTGCTCCTCGCCCTTGTCCCGTTCCTCACACCCCCACAGTTACTATTACCGTTATTCTCTCTACTCCGTCCCTCACCAGCACGCCACGCTCACTTGAACACACGCCCCTCCAGCACAGGCCTCGGGATCGTCGGGCCCTCCCAGCACAGGTAGTCCGTGATGCGCTCCCGCTGCGCCGCGACGTCAGCGACCTCCTCCCAGTCGAACAGCTCCGTGTCCTCCACGTCCTCCACAATCGCCGGCATGCCCCGGCCGCGGAACACCCACAGCGCCACAATGTCGTGCCGCCTCTCCTCCCCAATGATGAGTGCAACGCCGAACGCGTACTTGCGCACGTGCTCCATGCGCTGGAACCACCCGCGGATCAGGTTGGCCGTCATGAACTGCATCTTGTTGTCCTCGTTGTACTTGTAGCGGCACCAGAACGTCGTGTAGCCGGCGGCGTCGTAGTGCTGGAAGAAGTACGGCGCAGCAACCGTGCGGGTGTCCGTGTTGCTGTACTCGCGCTTGAATGCGTCCAGCACGAAAGGGCTCGGCGGCAGCTCGTCCAGCGGGTTCGGCTTCTTCTTCTCCCTCGGCGCCTCGTCCTCTTCCTCCGCACCATCAGCAGCAGCAGCGGCGGCCTTCGGCTTCTTCTCTGCCCGGGCGGGCGCCGCCGCGTCCTTGCCCTTTCGCTCCGCCTTCACGGGCCCGAACGTCGCACCCTGCGACCGCAGCACCTCCACCGTCTTCGGCTGCTGCATCACCGTGTTGTACAGGCGGTACGCGTTCCGGTACTTCTTCGTCAGTGCCTCTCCCTCCGCGCCGTTCAGACGGTAGTGCCATTGCAGCGCAAACGCAACCGCCACGTCCGCAACCGTCATGCGCTCGCCCACGAGGAATGTGCGCGTCTCCAGCCACGCCTCCAGCGCACGCAGCACCTCGTGCACGCGGTCCATCGCGTTGGCGGGCAGCGGCTCGCCACGGAAGGCGTGGTGCACAAACGGTTCGGAGGCAGCGTCCAGCTCCGTTGCCGAAAAGTCGAGCCACATGTCCACCTGGCTGCCCTCCAGCGGCGTGCGGCCGTACAGGAAGCCGCCGCTCCGGTCAAGGCGCGCGATGTGGCGCAGGATGGCGTTGGACTCGAACACGCAGCCCTCCTCCGTCTGCAGCACGGGGTAGCGGCCGCACGGGCTGCAGTTGCGGCAGTACTCCGCCGTCTCGTTCTCGCGGCCGTACTCGCACGCCTTCAGCGTCACCGCAACGTTGGCGAGGGCCGCAGCAGCCAGAAGCTTGTGCGTGCGTGCGTTCTCGGGGTTCACACCGCTCCACAGCGTGAGCGACATGGCGTATGTGTGCTTGTGTGTATTTTAATGTGCCGTGTGTTTTTCGGCGCTTACAGTTGCAGAGCAGTCGTGTGGCAGAAAATAAAACTTAAAAAAAAAGTAGGGTAAGACAAAGCAATAGCCAACGTAATTTATTTTTATTTTTATTTTTTGTAACGGCGGGGCTGTAGCATGTGGTGAAGTGCCGTTACCATAACGGTAATGAGACTAGGGGAATGTTCGGCAATGAATTGCGTGCGGCTGGTGTTGCATCGTTGACTCCTTCCCCATGTTTGTAAAAAAAGGGAATTAAATTGGAATAAGTGAGGAAGTAAAGTGTTGAGTACCGTTGTGTATGCACTTTCCCCTTTCCCTTTTTTGGCTTTCGTTAATGGTTTAAAGCGGCCAATGCATATCTGCAATGCTCTTCAAAGCAAAGCAAGAGGTGTTCTCCACCAAGAAAACCAAAAATGGCCGTAAAGTAAAAAAAAAAAAAAAAAAAAGGTAAGAAGGGTCTTCAATAATATTTGACCGTGTAACTCCAGGCAGCATGGTGCACTTAGCTCTTTGTTTTTATCATCCACAATCCTCACCGCTGGTTTTCATTACCGAAAAAAATTCCTTTAGTTGACGGTTCACTCGCTTTTCCGCATGCGTTCGATTTGTCCGCCTCCGATGGGGTCGCCTTTGCTTCAAAACTTCATAATTCCCGTGTGTCTCGTCCACCTGCTCACTCCCACTCTTTTCCTCTCCCGCAGGTGTCGTGCCGGAGTCGTCAGGTCCGATTGAACTCTCATTTCCGTTGTGATGACGGCCGATGGGACTGTTGTTGATAACGCCGTTGCTAGGCCCCGTGTCTGCAGTCTCTTCTAAAACATGTAGGTACTTCCAATCAAATGTTTTGGAGAGATAATGCCACAGTCCCATGGAACGTGTAAACCCCAAGTAACGACTCCCAAGCATTGAATTAAAGAGAGAAACGTTTGAAATGGACACGGCGCTGCCCACTTCCTGTTGCGGTACTGTACTAGATCCCAGCCCTACCATTTGCGCACTATGTACAAAGGCACCGCGCGATGCATCTTCTGTTTTTGGCGGCGATGACGTGGCAAAAACCACACAGCTATCAGGGATCTCTTTGTACCGTGACTGCTTTTCTCTACATTCAGTGAGATTTTTTTTTGTTGGCTGCCGTTGCTGCCGTAATCGCAGCCGAGCCACCATATTCCGCTCCATATCGATATTTACCTCAGCCTTCTTCTTGTAGTCTCTAGAAGATGTATTATAATGTTTGCGCATGGGATCTATGGTAACAAAGGGTATCTGGAGTCGAGGCGGCATAATCACCTTGCAGCCGCAATCATCACAATCCGTATATTCCTCAGTCCTATTTGACCTGCACAGCGTGATTGATGCCTCCCCAAAATTCGCCCGGTGGATGTCGGGTTGTGTCGTGACATTATTCTCCCCAACTGTTCCGTTAAAAGCAGATATTCTTTTCGAAAATGACATTACCTTCCAATCTTCCTTATTGCGTTTCCGTACTGTTGTCTGGTGCAGCGTCAGATCACTGTCGGTGCGCATTGGGCAGTCCATTGGCACGGGATCCGCAAAAGTGTCTAGTGCCAGCGTCTCGCGCAGCGTAATAAGTTCCTCCCTCGTGTACATTTGCCGTCTCATCGTCAGTCTATTCTACGTAGTACCCGCCGCTTGTTTCCCCTCCAAAACCCGTAGCTATTGCTGCCGGTATCACTCCAGTACAAACACCCTTGGAGACAGAATGAAGAGGGAAATGCACCTCTCCTAGCGTCTCCCCAGTCAATTGCATACAAAAGCAATGTGTCAGTTTGAAAAGCAATAAAGTGGGAAGTAAAAAAAAAAAAAAAAAAAGTATATATATATATATATATATATATATATATTGTCAGGGAATGCATGGTGCAAAGAAATAAATATGCACACTTGTATATGCGCATTAGGTCCATTATTCAAAATGGATAATGCATTAAGATGGCAACACCATAAGAGGGGAAAAGAAGGGGTATACGTTTCTTTTTCCTCTTGTTATATATATATATATATGTAACGGAATAGAGAAAATAAGATGAGAGAGTTAGTCACATGAATGTGTGTGTATCTGTATGTGTGTCTTTCATTTACGTCATGTATACATTATACATACATATATATATATATATATATATATGTGTATGTATGTATGTACTTATGTAACGATGACTTCACGAGAAACAGACAAAACATTCAATTTTTTTTTTTTTTTTCCATTTCACTTCTTCATCTTCGTTGGTGTTGTCTCCTTCTTTTCCTCCTCCTCCTCGCAGTACTTTTTTTTTTTTTTTCTTTTCTTTCCCCTCCCCCTAACCCTCCGTTCCACTCTTGTCGTCAAACAGGCGGAGAAACAGCCCAAACACCGCACAGGAGACAAAAAAAGACAAAAAAACTCATACATGTATTCATTTTCTTCCCACACGCTTCTTCCTCATTTCCTTTCCTTCATTCTGTGTCTCTGTGTGTGCCCAGAAGGGAGGGGAGGTCGGGGCTCAGGAAGCATGTGAAGGCAATTGTCCTTTTTTTTTTTTTTTTCTTTCTTTTGTTCTTTGGAGTCTGTTTCAGGTTGTGTGAAACATCTACGCATCTATTTTCTATTTCGTTTCTTTTTTTTTGTTGTTGTTCTTGTTGTTTTTTACTATTTGGCTTTCAGTTTGCATAAATGTGTGGGCTGCGGTCTGGACAGTCCGCTATGCAGGTACGA